GAACACCATCTAGGCCATTGCATTAATAGTATCTTGTTGCACATTGACAATTACTGCATGTTTCAACATTACAATGGTGCTTGCCCTTCAAAGTCCTTCTGGGCTGTCTGATGCATTCTGAGCTGGTTTGGTGACACACAACACGCTACATGAAAACAAATTTTTCTGTCAATAACAATTTCTAAAACATGGCATATTTTTGATCAATAGTAACCTGCTTTATTCAAACTAATCTGGTATTGTGGTGTGGTTATTAGACCAGTAACCCAGAAAGCTGAATTGATTATTCAAGAGAATGCAAGTTCATTATTCTATCATGACAGATAGAATTAGAATTAGAATTAGAATTCAGCTGGGAAAAAATATGCAAATTAAATAGAAGCAGTATCATTTAGAGCAACTATTAATTGGATTGTTGGAAAATCCCAACTCATTCACTCATGTCCTTTAGGGAAGTGAACCTCCTGTCTTTACCTGGTCTCACCTCCATGTGACTCCAGTCCTTCACAAGTGTGATTGGCTCTTCAGTATTGACAAAGTGGTTTGGCAAACTGTAATAGCTCAGGAAACCTGACTGGAAAGGAAGGTATTTATTGTTGAACACCAAAATTGAGCCACTACTGGTGGCGTACATAGATTAGTGCCAGACAGGGTCAGACAGTTCTGGGTCTGCTTTAGATATTTTCCTAATCAATCTGTTCAGAGATGTTATCACACACCTCTGAAGCAGGTGGGACTTGACCCTAAGCCTGTCTGGCTCAAAGACAGGGACACTACCACTGCACCACAAGAACCCCCACCATCCTTGGTCTGATTTATTTTGTTTCATGTCCAGAAGTGTTATCACACACAACTGACCAGTGCTTTTCCTCCATCACCAAATCATCTTGGTTTTTTTTCCCATCTATTAACCACCAACACCAGTAAACAGCACATGCTTCCAATTGAATAATGTGGGTGCAAAGCCTGTTAAGAGCGATGCAATAATCAAAGGTGAGGGAGAGGCAAAGGTGGTTAAATCAAAGTGGACTGGGTCTGCTTTATCTTTTTGAAATCAGCCTGTTCAGAGATGTTATTACATACCTCCTGGAAGACGTAGCCTTTGAAACTGGGCCTTCTTTTTCATATCTGAAAAGGCTGTCACACTCAACCAAATTTCTTTTCTCCATCACTAAATATCAGTGATTTTTTTCTGCTCAGTTCTTAACAGCTTGGATCTTCGTGTTAATTTGGGGATTTTTTCAGTGTTGTTTGGAGAGCAGCATTCAGATAATCTTGCCTGATGTATGTATCCACCTTAGCTTCGTCAGGTCCCAGCTAGTTCTTGCCTCCTTCCTCCTCGCCAATATAGCTATTCTCATTGTAGTCATCGACATTAACATGACGGAACATGTCAGCCCCGGTGTTCTGAGATGCTAGTTACAGGAAGAGACACAGAGCAGCCTGGGTCTGCTTTCTTTTATATCCGGAAGTGTTCTTACACACAACCGAATGAATTTCCCACCACCAAATCACTGCTGGGTCTGCGTTTTTTTTATATCCCGATGTGTAATCACACCAACCTGCATGTTTTCTTTCACTATTTAATCACCATGACTTTTTTTTTTAAAACTATTAACTGCCACCAGTACTACAACTGTGCTCCTCTGATGCTGTGATCATCCAGCTCTACACCTTGTTATGTGCAGACAATTGGATACTTACAGGCAAAGCCCATTATTGGCAATGCAAGCCATCAAAGGTGAGGGAGGGGTGGAGAGAGCAGGAAGGGGGCTGGTTCTGCTTTATAAAGTATTTTCTAATCAACCTGTTCAGAGATGGTATTAAACATTTCTGGAGCAGGTGGGACTTGAACCTAAGCCTTCTGGCCCTGAGGTAGGGACACTACCCTGCACCACAAGAGACCTTGGGTCTCTTTCTTTTCTATATTTCTATTAAACATAACTGAACAGCTTTCCCACCATCACATCGCCGTGACATTTTTTTTAAACCATTGACCACCACCAGTAATTCACCCGTGTTTGGGTCTGCTTTATCTTTCTTTTTCTCCTAATCAATCTGTTAAGAGATGTTATTAAACACCTCTGAATGGGAGGGACTTGAAAGCCGGACCCCTGGTTCAGAGGCAGAGACGCTACCACTGCACCACAAGAGGCCTCTGAGTCTGGTTTATTTGTGTGTTTTAATATCTTGAAGTGTTATCACGTACACAACCGAACGTCTTTCCTGCCACCAAATCACATGGGTCTGATTTATGTATCTTATTGAGTGCTGTGATTTTAGATTTGTAATGACACGCTTCTAGAACGTTTGGAACTTGAACGTAGGCTTCCTGACACAGAAGTGAGGACACTACCACTGTGCCACAAGGGCCCATGGGTCTGTTTTTTTTTGTTTTTAACTATTACCCACCACCAGTAAATCTCCCATGTAGTCGATTAGAAATTTACATGCAAAGCCCATTATGGACAATGCAAGTGAAGGAGGGGTCATGGGTTTGCTCTATTAAATTTTTAATTTTTTTTTGTTTAATCTATTTTCCTAATCAACCTGTTCAGAGATTATACACATCTGGAGCAGGTGGGATTTGTCCGGGGCTTGGGACACTACCACTGCACCACAATACTTTTTTCAGACTTGGGTTTTTTAAAAAAATTTCATCTATTTTTCTAACCGACCTGACCAGAGATCTTATTACACACCTCTGGAACAGGTGGCACTCGAACCTAAACCTTCTCATCCAGGGGTATGGACATTATCACTCTGCCACAGTCAAGGGCTCAGGTGATGAGTTCCAGGTGGGCAGGCCATTGCCTGTTACCAAGGGAACTCATACTCAACCAGGTCCGTGAGGACATTAATTAGTGATTCCCCATGGGCCTTGACGGAGTTATCACACAAGCCGTTCAGTGTAAAACTGGAAATGTGCAATTAATATTGACCTTGTTAGCGATGCTGAAATATAAGAATGAATTTTAGGCAAAAACACCCTGGTTTGAGCATCAGCTGTCTGTGTATTATCGGGTTTCCTCAAGACAACTAAGAACGGAGCTTGATGAACACCAGCATCATTTCCATCACGTAGAATGGAGATCTGTTTACTAAATTGTGTAGCTTCTAAGATAACTGCAAAAATGCCGATGATAGCAGTTTGCAACTCATTATAGCTGCGAGAGACACATCTGCTATAGTGGTCTGGCCCAAACACTCTTAATAGCTTGCTTATGTAACCTAGGCATACACAAGTTTTAAAGATTTTCTTTCTATTTTCCTCTTTAGGCAGGTTTCCCACCCCTTTCTCCTTAGTTAATAGCAAAATATATTTTTAGAAATGTGGGAAGTCTGAAATAAATGAACAGAAAATGTTGTAAAAGTAAAAGCCAGACAAAATGAAATAAATAAGTAGAAGACTTGTTCATTAATAATGATCATCGTGGCTGGTACTGGACTGTGATTCTGATGCAATTTAAAACAAGGTAGTCACAATTTATGACATAGCTATGGACAAATAAAATATAAAATAAGAAATAGATTGCACAAGCACACAAATAATTACAATACATTGCAAAATGGTGCCTCCTTTCTTTATAGAATATAAATAAATGTTTCACCCACATGCTGCATTTTCTATTAAACTCCATAGATTGCATATTGTCTGATTGAATTCATTGAACTCTCAATCATTTTGTATTATTTGTGAGTTTTATAAAGTCGGAGATTGGGCTGTTTCATAGGCTATTCTATGCATTACTTGCTGAAGAGTGTCTTTTCTTAAATCCACTGCACTCATTACTTCTGTGTGGTTATGGCAAGAGATGTTGGCAATAGGAATGCAATACAAAAAAATTTCCAGCAAAGTCCAGGCAGAGTTTTTGCCACCTTTCAGCAAGAGACTGTGCTTTCAATTAAGTAAAAACAAAATACAGCAACCGCTGGGAATCTGAAGCAGAAACAGAAATGCTAGAAATACTCAGCAGGTCTAGCAGCATTTGTGGAGACAAAAGTTAACGTTTCGAGTTGAACATGGTCCTTCTTCAGAACTCACACTCAGTTGTTTGATTGTGTCAGTGTGTCTTTCCCACGTCTTAGGGACAGGCAGGAGTTGAGAGGTTCTGAAGTTTTATCAATGAAATGTTGGGTGTAACATTATGGGAGGAAGGAGGGTTTGCAGCTTGGCTATGCAACTTCACAGTGAGAATCCCACCGCTCGCAAGGAGAAGACCCACCTTCTGGAGCAGGGGGTTCCAAACATCCTGGCAGTGCCTGAGTTTTGTAGTAGGCACTGTTGGGACACGTGATTTGATTTGATTTATTGTTGTCACATGGACCTAAGTACAGTGAAAAATTTTGTTTTACGTGCAGTATAGGCAGATCATAACATATAAGGATATATAGATCATAGGTGTTTAAACAGAGCGAGGCATACAAGGTTATGGCTGCACAAGGGGTGCACAAAAGCAAGATCAACATTAGCTTTGAAGTTAGACAGGTCCATTCGGCAGTGTGATAACAGAGGTGAAGAAGCTGTTTTTGAACCTGTTGGTACATGTGTTTAAGCTTCGGCCTGATGGAAGAGTTGGTAGAGAATATAACCAGGGTGGGAAGGGTCTTTGATGATGTTGGCTGCCTTTGCACGGCAACGAGAAGTGTAAATGGAGTTCCTGGATGGGAGGTTGGCTTGTGTAATGGTCTGTGCTGTGTTCACAACTGTCTATGGTTTCTTATGATTCTAGGCAGAGCAGTTGCCGTACCAAGCCATGATGCACCCAGATAGAATGTTTTCTAAAGAGCATCTGTAAAAGTTGGTGATGGTCCTTATGGACATGCTGCATTTCCTTAGCCTCCTGAGGAAGAAGAGGTGCTATTGTGCCTTCTTAACCTTCGTGAAATGCAGGAGGTCCCGTGAATTCTGGATCTGGGTTGGTACTGGAGCTTTGCGGCTGAGGTGGTTTTTTTGCAGGTCTGGGTGAAATTAATGTTGATGTGTTTTTCTTGTGTAGGTGTTGGAAGAGCTCAGGATGTCTGGGACTACATCTTCCTACGATCATCTGGTGAGGCAGGTTGAGGCACTTAGAAAGGAGAACTCTCACCTACGACGAGAGTTGGAGAACAACTCCTGTCACCTATCGAAACTGGAGACAGAGACCTTGGATATGAAGGTGAGGATTCTGTTATTTGTCCCTGGGTTAAGCTGAAGGTTTTTGCTTGACGATTAACTTAGCTGCATGTTGAAAAGCAGAGCCAAATCCATTTAAATCCATTCAGACCATTGGTTTTGAAGAAACAAGTGAACAAATTGTGTAATTCCTGCAAATATTCCCAGTTCATGATTCTGTCGATAGGTTATACAGAGGAAGCCTGTTAATGTAATCATGCTCAGAGGCAATTGTATCATACAGGCTAAAGTAGGGCAATTGTTTCAGATCAACAAAGATTCTCATAATCGTTTCCTTTGTCACAGTCCTGGGAATTTAAGAAATTATTTCCAATTATTGCAGCTCGGTTGTACAGTGGTTAGCACAGCTGCCTCACAGCACCAGGGACCCCAGTTCAATTCCAGCCTTGGGTCACTGTCTGTGTGGAGTTTGCACATTCTCCCCGTGTCTGTGTGGGTTTCCTCCGAGTGCTCCGGTTTCCTCCCACAATGCAAAGATGTACATTAGGTAGATTGGCCATGCTAAATTGTCTGTACTGTCCGGGGATTTGCAGGCCAGATGGGTTAGCCATGGTTAATCTGGAGTTTTGGGGATAGGGCAGGGGGCTGGTTCTGGATGTGATGCTCTTCAGAGGGTCAGTAAAGACTCGATGAGCCAAATGGCCTCTTTCCACACTGTGGGAATTCGTGCTGTACATCTCTATGACTATACATGAGTTTCTTGACACCTGAATCAGTTGACTGATTTTCAATAGCTTTAGAAGAAAATGCTAATTTTGATAGCTTATTCCATATTGTTTTCCTGAACTTGCATTAATCTGTGGCCAGAGATAGTAGGAACTGCAGATGCTGGAGAATCCGAGACAACAAGGTGCAGGGCTGGATGAACACAGCAGGCCAAGCAGCATCAAAGGAGCAGAAAGGCTGACGTTTCGGGCCTAGACCCTTCATCAGAAAAGGGGGAGGGGAAGGGGGTTCTGAAATAAATAGGGAGAGAGTGGGAGGCGGATAGAAGATGGACAGAGGAGAGGATAGGTGGAGAGGAAACAAACAGGTCGAAGAGGCGGGGATGGGGCCAGTAAAGGTGAGTGTAGGTGGGAAGTTAGGAAGGGGATAGGTCAGTCCAGGGAGGACGGACAGGTCAAGGGGGTGGGATGAGGTTGGTCGGTAGGAGATGGAGGTGCGGCTTGAGGTGGGAGGAGGGGATAGGTGGGAGGAAGAACAGGTTAGGGAGGCAGGGACGAGCTGGACTGGTTTTGGGATGCGGTAGGGGGAGGGGAGATTTTGAAACTTCCCCACAATGCGTCTGCCGCCATTGGCCATGAGGCCATGACCGGAGAACCCACAGATGACGTCACATCCGCCACCGCCGGGTTCCCCACTTCCGGGACAGTAAACACCATCGCTGCCGTTGCCACCGACACTGAAGTCGCGACCACCCTCACCGCTCCTGCCGCTGCCTACCCCGCTCCTCCTACCTCTGACGCCGCTTCGCCCACAGCCGACGCCGATGCAACTCCGCCCACAGCCTCCATAGCCAGCAGCTCCAGAGGAGACAGCAGCACCCAGCCCTGCCGAGTCTTCACCATCCCCCCAGACCTACCCCTTACTGAGGACGAACGGTCAGTCCTCAGTAAAGGGCTCACCTTTGTCCCCCTCCACCCACAGATCAACGAATACCGCTCACGCTTGGACATAGAGCAGTTTTTCCGCCGCCTCCGCCTCCACGCTTACTTCTTCAACCGTGAACCTAACCCTCCCTCTACTGACCCCTTCTCCCGCTTTCAACACACCCCCTCCTCCTGGACACCACCCCAAGGCCTCCTACCCTCCCCCGACCTCTTCATCTCCAACTGCCGTCGAGACATCAATCGCCTCAACCTCTCCACCCCTCTCACCCACTCCAACCTCTCCCCCACA